AGAGAGAGAGAGAAAGAAAGAAGGAAAACACATGGCCGGCAAGCCACTCCCACCAGGTCACATGGCCGGCAAGCCACTCCCACAAAGGTGGGCACACCCACAGAGTAGGTTCCAAAACATTTTGAAACCCACCACTGCTTCCAACCACCAGCTGAGGCCACTGGTGGCCCCAGAAATGAAGGCCTAGAAGCAAAACAAAGAAGAGAGTTGCTGTTTTATCTTTCCATCGAGGTCACAGAGGCAGTGGGGGAGGGGGGCACCCCAAAATTCCAATCCAAGAAGAGCCAAGGGGGACATCAGACACAAGCTCCATAACTCCATCTTGAGTTGAATCCCATCAAAACCATTGTAATCTATCTCAGGGACCCCACACTCAAATCGTAGGCAGTGCCACATGGGCAGGGCATCCTCTATCTAGGACAGGGGTCACCAAACTTTCAGACCTCAGGGACCACTAAATCCATAATTTTAAATCCCGCGGACCACGAATATGGCGAATGACCGGCTGGGTGGGCGTGGCTAGGTGGGCAGGTGACTGGGTGGGGGTGGCTAACTCGATGTCACTCACATCGAGGGGTGCCTCGCCAGCATCTACTTGCCCCTCCCCTCCCAGCCACTCCTCGTCTGCCCGCCTGGGAATCCCAACAAGGAAGCAATTGCTGGAGCTAAGCATCCACCAGGAGAAAGAGTGGGCAAAACAACTCAGTTCAAATTGGATCTGACCGAGAAGGAGGCTCAGCAGAAGCACCTCACTGAGGACTAGGAACATAGGCTTTCCAAGCAGTTAGAAAACTGCAAGGCCAGGTACCGGTGCCTGGAGGCTCAGCGGGCTGAGATGGTCAGCCAGTTCCAGGCCATGATGCAGTCCCACTGCAGTGAGGCCCTCCAGCTCTTTGCCACCAGCGGTGCTTCCCTCCAGCCTTCACCCAAAGCCCCACACCAGGAGGCTCTCGCAGACCCCAAGTTGGAATTTCTGCCCCCCTCTGACCCACATAAAAGGACCCCAAAGGGAGAGAGACTCTCTGCAGCAACACAAACATTCATTGAACTTATCTGTCCCAGGGGCCATAGTTTGAGGACCCCTGATTTAGTGCAATAATAAAAATGCAAATAATTTTTCTGCGGACCACCATAATTTTTTCACGCATGACCAGTTGGTCTAGGAGAGCCCGAAAACTCAAGATCTTGCCACATGATACTTTTTTTTTAAAAAAGGTGGGACTTCTTTTATATTCCTAGATGTCAGGCACAGGCAACCAGAACTCCTTCTGGATGGTCTCAAGCAGAAACTTCATTGCTACTCACCTGTATTACAAGAATGTCACCCATCTGACTGCATTTCCTTGAGAATGGTCAGATTCTGGGGAGGTCAGGCCTTTGAAGCTTCCTGCACTGCAAGGACTCTAAGCTTGACCCCCTCTTAACATGTCCCTTCGATCTCGGAGCAGAGACCATGTCAGAACGGCCACAACCTCAGCCTCTAAATAGAAGCGAACCTTGGCTCCATTTGTTGAGAAAGGTCTCGTTTTATTACAGGTCAAGTGTGTTGCAAAGCCAGAACTGAGAATTACGCACCAAAATCCCTCAGTTCTACTTCTATCCCTCTGACTGTCCCTCGCTGCCCACTGTAACCAACCAAGCCCATGCGAGATGTTTTTTATAACCGTCAGTCCAAGCGGAGTTTTGGTATGACGTTCTCTCTTTCTTCCAGCTGGGTGACCTTGAAGCAACCTCTCAACGTGGTACAGTCGCTACTTCCGATTTCCCCAAGCATTTCCCCACCTCATCCCCTCTGCATTCAGCTCACGGCTCTCTGGTTACTACCTAGCAGTGAAGAACAGAAGCATAAGGTCACACCGGAGCTGCCGTCTTCCTCTTTTCAAATTCCCCACCCTTGGAGGTCTCCGCACGGAAGAAGCTATTTAATCAGCCTGAAAAATGCAACATTGATTACCCCCCTTTTTTTCTTGGAACTAAAAATCTCCAAGGAGTCTAAATGTCAGGCCTGCAGCCTGGACTCTGATTTACTTTTGGGTGCTATTTGGAACCCTGATACTAAAAGCAAGCAAGTGAAAAAAAAAATGATATCCCATTCAACAGAAATGCATGAAATGCAGTAACAGCTGGAAATCTGACTTTGCGGCATTTTTCATGATCCGGAATGCTCATATGTAGCTTCCTTACCACAAAACCGAATACATCTAGTTATATTGTACTGTATTCCCACGTACATTATTTATTTATTAAAATTTATTTATTAAATATCTTTATATGCCGCCCAATCCCGAAGGACTCCGGGCGGCTTACAAAAAATGTAAGAAAAACACAAAAGATAAAAGAAAACAGTTTAAACATAGCAAACACCCTCATACATTCATTCTAATCGGGGCTGGACCTCAACAATAAGTTCAACAGCCCCAGGCCTGCTGGAACAGCCAAGTTTTTACTGCTTTCCTGAAGGCCATGAGAGTGGGTATGGTCTGGATCTCCGAGGGTAGCTGGTTCCGGAGAGTTGGAGCAGCCACAGAAAAGGCTCTCCTCTGGGGGCCCGCCAGCCGATACTGTCTGGCTGACGGCATCTGAAAGCGGCCCAAACTGTGGGATGTTACTGGCCGCTGGGAGGTATGTGGCAGCAGGCGGTATCGTACATGATTTGTAACCCAATGTAATATAATCAGTAATAGCTTTTTCAAGATCCCCTCTTCCAAAGTATTGCTGAGGGCAGAAGAAAATCCCGAGCAGTCCTTGACTTACGACCTTTCATTTTGTGGCCGTTCGGCTCAAAAAACCATTTTTTAAAATACTTATGACCATTGCCCCCTCCTCATCAAAATTCAAATGCTTGGCAAACTGGAACTTATTTAGGACGTTCGCAATGTCCTGGGTTTTTGTGATCAACTCTGGCGACCTTCGGATGGGCAAAATCAAGGGGGAAGAAAGATTCACTTAACAACCACGTGACTCACATAGCAAAAGGTCATAAAATGGGCAAAATCCACTTAATGCCAGCGTTGCTTAGCCACGGTAATTTTGGGTTTAATTGTGGTCGTAAATATAGGACTTCCTATATTTAGAGAGCTGTAACATCAAGGTCCTTCATCTCTTCAAGTTGCGGACGTAGAAACCTCTTCCAGTCATATCTGGGGATGAATTGATGCTTGGTTTGGTTTGAATGAACCTACGTTCTTGTTCATATGTATGGCTATTCTCCATAGAATTCTACCCCCTCTTCGGCACTTCTTCCTCCCTTAAAATAGGAATAAATCACATTATGCCACAGGCACTTCAATTTGTTGATGTGAAACCTGTTGTGGCATGCCAGAGGCCAGTGGAGCTGGCAGCAGATTCGGGCAGTGAGGAGTTAGGGGAGAAACCTGGGCCAGTCCTGGAGTCTGGGGAAGCCTCTGATGAGGGCTCTGTGTCGGAGGCAGAGAGGGGGCCAGAGCCGTCCGACAGTTATCAGCTGCCTTTGGAGTCGGAGATCAGTGGGGCAGAAGAACAGCTGGAGCCTGTTCCCAATGTGTGCATGCACGGAGCTGCCAGGAGAAGGGAACAGCTGAGGAACAAGGGCCGACTCAGGAGTAAAGGCACAGGTGGACGGTGAATGGCCCCTCCCATAGGGAATAAAAGAGGAGCGAAGGAGGAGGGGAGTTTGCAGGAGACAATGAGTTCAGTTCATTCGGGTGAAGATCTGTTCCTGACTTCTTGCCAAGGAATTGCTGCTACAGCGTGGCGTTTGGAAGATATCAGCCTGGCAGCTCTCCAAGCCTGTAGTTGTGAAATCTCATGCTTCCCGACTGTTTGCCGGGACTTTGCTGGAGAGGAATCCCCTTTCACTTAAACAAAAGAGGTTTTATTGGGACGAGGAGTCGGCTTCATGAAGTTTCACCAATCACGTCTTTCAAGGGCTGATATAATTCATTCTTTTGGGGCAACCCAGCTTTTCTCAGCAGGTCCATTTTTCAAAGGGGTTTTGAGCAGAAAATCCCACTGGGGGCAGGGGAGGGGGAACCCATCTATAGATCTGCCTCTGACCCTCTGCATTATCGCTCAGGAAATAGAGAATCCAAACCCGCTGAGTTGTTGTTTTATTTATATTTTTTTCTAGAAATAGCAAACCTATTAAGAAGAGTCATCAGCATCCCTTTTCTCTTGGTCTTAATTATAGATTTAAATTTAGCCCCAAGGAAAACGCGGCTAAAGTTAGCTTTGGGAAAAGGCCATTGCCTTCTCTTTACAGATGAGCAAAATGAAGCCAATACTTCTGCTAAGGGGTGGTTGTGGCCCGTCGCCTGCCAGCAGAGCTAGCTGCAGAGTCAAATTGTTGTGGCCAGCCAAGATGGCAGCTGATTCGGACAGTGAGAAAGTTGAGGAGGAACATGGGCCAGTCCTGGAGTCTGGGGAAGGCTCTGAACACCCAGAATTCCTCAGTCAGCATGTTGGTTGTAGGGATTCTGGAGGTTGAAGTCCACTCATTTTAAATTTGACCAGGTAGAGAAAGACTGGCCTAGAGAATGAAAGTTGTCCGAAGCTCTGGAGAACCCTGCCTTCGGCAAGGATGTTAACTGGATGATCTTGGATGAGTCCCTCTTTCTCAACCAGAAGGAGAAGGAGAAGGAGGAGGAGGAGGAGGAGGAGAAGGAGAAGAAGAAGAAGAAGAAGAAGAGGAGGAAGAAGAAGAAGAAGAAGAAGAAGAAGTAGTAGTAGTAGTAGTAGTAGTTGTTGACGAGTTCCCTTCCCTGCTCGAATTGTGTGACTGTTGATTGTTTTTAAACTTTTCTCTGTATCTTGTTTGTGGTGTTACCTTGTGTGTACTACCCTCCTCCCCTGGGTTTGTTAGCCGCCCTGAGTCCCTCCGGGAATAGGGCGGCATATAAATGCAATAAACCTTTAACCTTTAACCTAACCAAGAAGAAGAAGAAGAAGAAGAAGAAGAAGAAGAAGAAGAAGAAGAAGAAGAAGAAGAAGAAGAAGAAGAAGAAGAAGAAGAAGAAGAATGATTATTGAGGAGGCTCAGCATGTCATAGATAAGACAAGGTTTTGGATCCAGCGTTTCTGTTCCCCATTAAATTGTACATTGATTAGAATAACAAATACACACTTTAGCTTTTGCCTCCTGGAGTTTTTGCTTAGTTAGAACATCTGGTTGCAAAACATGTTGCTCCAATTCCCATTGCAGTCAAGGGAAGACTTCAGGATGCATGCTTCAGAATTGAGAAATGAATCACCAGCCTCAAACCTGGAGGAGAAAATTTGTCATCCTCATCTATACCAGCCTCAAATTTTATTTCCGTCTTAATGTTCCTTTTCCATCAGACTGGGCTCCAGGGCCCTGGAGTTGCAACTGAGATGCTGAGATGTTTTTGCTTTCGAATTTAAAATGCCCTTTCTTTCTTTCTTTCTTTCTTTCTTTCTTTCTTTCTTTCTTTCTTTCTTTCTTTCTTTCTTTCTTTCTTTCTTTCTTTTTTCCTTCCTTCCTCCTTCCTGCCCTCCCTCCTGCCTTCTTCTCTCTCTTTTTCTTTCTTTCCTTTCCTTCCTTCTTTTTTTCCTTCATCTTTTTCTTTCTTTTTTCTTTCTCTTCCCTCCCTCCCTCCCTCCCTCTTTCTTTTTTCTTTCTCTTTCTTTTCTTTCTTTCTTCCTTCTTTCCTTCCTCCTTCCTGCCCTCCCTCCTCCCTTCTTCTCTCTCTCTTTTTCTTACTTTCCTTTCTTTCCTTTCTTTCCTTTCTTTCCTTTCTTTCCTTTCTTTCCTTTCTTTCCTTTCTT